ATGTTTTCTTTTTTGTGTGCAGGGTCTCACTACACAGCCCACATTAGTAGTGATCCTCCTGCCTCCCAAGTGCTAGGATTACAGGCGCAAGCCACCAGGCCTGGACTCCATTGCTGGCTCAGCGAACCTGGGGGTGGGGCTGGCGTGGCATGTGGAGCCAGGGATTGAACCCTGGCCCCTGCGCTTACCTAAGCAAGCACTTAGTCTGCTGAGCTATACCGCCGGCCCTTATGATCTCTTTTTTAAGAGTACTATAATTTTCCTTGAAAAGATCTTTGACTTCTTTAGTTAGATTAATTCCAAAGTATTTCATTTTCCTCGGTGCTATTGTAAAAGGTATTGTTTCTATAATTTCCCTCTCGGTGTGTTTGTTATCTGTGTAGATGAATGCTATTGACTTTTGGGTATTGACTTTATAACCTGCTATGCTACTGAATTTCTGTATTAATTCTAGTAGCTTCTTGGAGTATTTTTGGTCTTCCGAGTAAAGTATCATGTCATCTGCAAATCATGATAATTTAACTTCTTCTTTACCTATTCTTATTCCTTTTATTTCTTTCTCTTGTCTAATGGCTGTAGCTAATGATTCCAGAACTATATTGAATAGGAATGGTGATAGAGGACATCCTTGTCTTGTACCAGATCTAAGAGTAAAAGATTTCAGTTTTTCCCCATTTAGAAGTGTGTTAGCCATTGGGTTTTCATAAATGGCTTTTACCAGATTGAAGTAGAGGCCATCTATTCCAATTTTCTGTAGGACTTTGAGCATGAATGATTGTTGGACTTTGTCAAAAGCCTTTTCTGCATCAATTGAGATGATCCTATGGTTTTTAGTTTTCGCTGTATTGATATAGTGTATTACATTTATAGATTTTTGAATATTGAACCATCCTTGCATCCCTGGGATGAATCCTACCTGGTCATGGTGTATGATCTTCTTGATGACTTGCTGTATTCTATTTGCTAGGATTTTATTGAGGATTTTTGCATCTATGTTCATGAGGGAGATTGGCCTGTAGTTCTCTTCTTAGCTGTGTCTTTCCCTGGTTTTGGTATCAGTATAATACTTGCCTGTAGGAATGATTTTGGGAGGATTGCTTCCTTTTCAATTTCATTGAAGAGTTTGTGGAATATAGGAACTACAACTTCAAAGTGATCTTAGAGGTGAGAGTGTGAGCTGAATGTGCAAGAATCTGACTGATGTCCAAGCAGAAAGACAGATGTGGTGTTAATTGTCTCCTTTTCTCCCCACTCAGTTTGTCCCAGGTCCCCTAGGTTGCACCAAGGTCCCACTGACCCCCAACCCCAATTTCTTTTCTTTTCGTGTGTGTGTGTGTGTGTGTGTGTGTGTGTGTGTGTGTGTGTAACTGGGGATTGAACTCAGGCCCTTGTGCTTGCCAGGGAAGTGCTTATTCCATTGAGCCATCTCCCCAGCCCCCCCAACCCCAATTTCAAGGCATGAAGCATTCCACTGTATTCTCAGTGGAGAAGTCAGGTATACCAGGCCACATCAGTAGATGCCAGAACATTCCCCAGCCTGAGACCCCAAGATGAGTACTCAGTGCTTCCAGTGAGCTGGGAATCACAAGGTGGCACTAAACTGACTGGCTGTTGGTCCTCCTGCTGGGCCATGGCCAAGGTGTCCTGGCCCTTGCTTATTGCTTATATGGCCTTAGTTGGGTTTGGATGTAAAGCCACCAAATTAATACCAGGTAAGGCCAAGCAGGATCAGCAGTGAAGCCATTCCCATCATTCACATTTAGGCAGGCCAGCTATTTTAATGTTTCTATCTGTTGTATCCGTGTAGTTACGTGTCAGTTTCAATTAGCTGAGGTTTTAGGTTCTTTTCCCCCTCGTTATGGTTTGTATAATCCCTTTGCTGTATCTGGGATTTTTGAGCGGGATGATGCGGTACACAGCTTGACCATCCTCAAGATTTGATAGGTGAGATTGGAGTGAAGGTTTCTATGGATCACTCCCTCTAATGCTCTTGGGTGGTTCTTTGTCCAGCCTTTCCTCATATGCATGCTGAGTGGTCTTGGAGGGCCCCTCTGTGGGTGTCTGGATTCCTCCACTGTGCAGAACTCTCCCCTCCAAAGCTCTGTCTCCCTTGGTTTCTCACCTGCATCTTCTAAACTTGAAGAGCCCCCAGAGACTTTCCTTCCCTGCTCCTTGGCCTGGAAATGATCTCTAGGCAGTGAGCCAGGGCAATAGGAAGGCTCACCCATCTGTGCCCACCTCCCAAGGAACTTGGGGCTTTGCTGTCTGCCTCTTGCAGTCTCTGCATTTCCTGGAGTTCAGTGTGTTGTCTTTTTTGCGATGTCTCAAGTGAGAATAAGTGAGATTTCTGGTGAGGCAGTCTTGCTGAGTGGGGCTGAGCCAGGCTCTGCCCCGCCAGACAGCAGCCTCTGCACAAGCCAGGGCTGAGCCTTGCTCACGTTTCACCCCATGTCTTACTTCTAGAAACTTGAGCGCATCTCCCATGCTAACATAAGAATGCTGCAAAACATGTATTTTCTGTTTGGAAATCATAGTATTTCTCTCCACTGAGTTTGTTAAGAATGCGATGGTACCAGTGATAAACTCTACCTGAAATGACTGTGGCGTCATGGAAAGAAAGGTCCACTCAAAGCTAGTTTTCCCTCAGGAAGTAAATGCTCAGGAGGAGCACAGTGGCCCGGAGGAGCTCTGCCCAGAGGGCCCGTCCACAACAGAGCCTCTGGGGACCCCACTGGAGCAGCCCTCTACCCTAGGAGGGAGGCAGCCAGGGGCAGGCCCTGAGACAGACAGTTCCTGCTTGTGTGCATGTGAGTGCGCAAAGCCAGCTTCCGCCAAGATAATTCTTTATAGTGTTTAGCAGCAAGGAAGAGGACACATATGTAAAGTCTCAGCCGGCAGAAGACTTCCTGAGTGTGAGTGTATGTGCGAGCTAGTGTGAGTGTGTGGGTGTGGGCGTAAATGTGCCAGGGAGCTGTGTGTGTGTGTGTCCGGGTGAGGGTGTGGGTGTGGGTGTGGGTGGTGGAGACCTCAGCTCTCCTCACATCAGGAGCTGCCTACACTTTTGAGGTGACCCTTCCGTCCTGGCTATGGGGCTCTGCTTGGCCATGGGGCATGGCCTCTGGTGCTGCCTGCCCCTCTTAGATTGCATGTATCAGGCCAGAGCCCAGGTTGGGCTGCACTGTGTTCTGTGTCCATCTGCAGATGCCTATGCCCTGCCCATGGTCTGCTGCACTGGGTGGGGTTCCCTGCTGCCTCCTCCACCCCTCCCTTTAGCACTGTGCCCTTGGCTGTTCTAAAGACAGTCAGAGGAAGTGCTTTTCATTCCCTTCTGCTGTTTCTCCAGGGCCTCCTAAACAGCCCCCTGCAAACCTGCTGGACAAGAGATTCTCAGAGGATCCCTCCAGCTGTTACTGGTCAACCCCAGAGCACAGCAGGAAACAAGCACCTGGCTGTCAACCCTCAGCGCCCACCATTGGTGAGAGGGACTGCATTGGGTAGGGGTAAGTGACTACCATCTGCTGCCTCTTGGTTCCTCCGCAGCAGCACATTGGGGTTGAGAAAATGATCTCAAGCATGTGTGTAGTCCAAGCACTCTAGGCAGCTGAGGTGGGAAGATCACAAGTTCAAGCCCAGCATGAGCAACTTAGTGAAAAAATAAAATATATATAATTTCAAGTTTATCTCAGGATAAAATAAAAAATGCTTGGAGATATAGCACAGTTGTGAAAGCCCTAGGTTCAACCCAGTATATTAAAAAAATGAGTAAACAAATAAAAATTTTAAAAGACCATTTTGGAGACTGTTCATCTCATTGTGATCCAGTCTTGCTTTTGAAATCCTTGGGCACCGAGGATCAGCATCAGAACCAGATGTGGTGGCACACGCCTGTAATCCCAGCAGTCAGGAGGAGGGAGGAGGATTAGGACAAGTTTGAAGCCATCCTGGACTACAGACTGAACTCAAAGCCAGCCTGAGCTACATAGCGAGACCCTGCCTCAAAAAGCAAAATAGAGAGGGAGAGAGAGAATTGAACTTGAATTTGCCTCCCATGGAGGGTGTCAGGAGAGTCTGGGGTCCGGGTGTGAAGTGGCTTCAGGGCCTTGGAGGCAGAATCTGGAGGCAAGGGCCTTGGTCTATGGTGTTGGGGGAGACCACCTGCTGGCCTGATGCTCCCCAGGGAGACAGTGGGCTGGTCACAGCCGGTGGCCTCTGGAGCTGCTCCCTTTGCTGTCCAATGGTCAGTGGCAATGGTGAGGAGGAAGAGGCCTGACATACTAAGTTGCCAGCCTCACCTGCACATATTACAGGTGTGAAGGATGTATTACAAATGGAAGCCCCAGTGCTCCTCATGGCCATTATTATTTTGTGCAGATATTTTGAATTATGAGCAGCAAGGAACCTCAGAATAACTTTACTCCTCTTCCTCCTTCTCCTCCTCCTTTTTCTTTTCCTAATATAGAAAACACTATTTTTGAGACAAGTTCTTGCTAAATTGCCTAGGCTCACCCTGAACTCATAATCCTGCCTCAGCCTTCTGAGTGCTGGGATTATAGGAATGCACCACCACGCCCAGCAAAACTTATTTTTTAAAATAAAACTTTTGTCATTCTCCAACAACATCTAGCTAAGACTGACCAGGTGCTGAGATTTTGACCACAGCTTCAGTCTTCCCATAGGTCTTCTCTGGGAATAGTGTCCTAATTTCTCATCACTGAGACAAAATACCCAACTCTCACCACTTAAAGGAGGAAAGGGTTTTTTTTGGCTCACAGTTTGTAGAGGTTTCAGTTCATACTCAACTGGTTTTGAAGCAGGGTGGCAAGGCAGAGCATTATGCTCAAGGAGAAATAGTCCATGGTGAGGCAGGCAAGAAGCAAGGGAGAGGAGGGAGGCCACACCCATGGTGACCCACCTCCACCATCCAATCACCTCCCAAAGCCCCACCTATGAGGGACGGGGCTCTGGAGGGACATTTAGATATAAACCATAATGTGGTATGGGGAAGCTGCGTTGAACTGGGCTTGTTTCTCCCTCACAGGAAGCCCCTGGCCAGTCACAGAGCCCAGAAGTTTCGGCTTTGAGGATGGAGTCTAGTGGAGGGTCCTCAGTAACTCCAGAAGCGTCTTCTCTAGGAGAACACAGTGCTGGGCCTAGCAGCTCTGCCTTGGGGAAGTTGCGAGCTCTTCCTATTGGGCCTGGTACCCACCAAGGGAATGCTGAAAGCCTGGCCACAGCAATGGATGGTCACCCAGATACTGGTCCCCTTGGAGAGCCAAGCAGCATGAAGATCCCCAACCGGGACAGTGGGATCGACAGTCCATCTGCCAGTGTGGCCGGCGAGAACTTCCCCTGTGAAGATGGTGGTGAGGCCTCCCCAGGCCATGCTGGCCTGGAGCTGCATACTGAGATAGCTATGGGCAGCCAGGTCCCACTGGATGTCCCCCGGGAAGAGGCCGACAGTGATGTGAGTGAGGAGCCCGACTCTGAGAGCAAGCCCTCAAGGGCTGATGAAGATGTCAGCCTGGCCCAGGTAGGCCTCCCCTCCTTGCCCCTAGCCATCCACAGGAGGGTCTTGAGGTCTGTGGTGGGCTCCTCCCATGCCTGGTTCTTAAGAGGGAAGCACACAGCCTCCTCCTCGCTAGGGGAGGGTACTGGGGTGGAGTCTTCTGGAGAAGGTCAGGCCAGACCCACATTATACCTTGCATGGTGACCTGAGCCCTAGTGTGTGCTTGTTCTGTGGGAGGGAGGGGTGATGGCCAGTCTGATGGATGAGGCTGCCCACAGCTGCCTTCTGCACTGAGTCTGCTGTGAGCATCCCTGTGAGGAAGGCAGTGTGAGCATCACTGGGAAAACTGAGGCACAGACCACCTTGTACCTCTCCAAGGCCACCCATGGAGTACGACTCAGTGTAAGGATTCATGTTCCTCAGAATGTGGGGATGCCACCAAGTGACCAGTGCATGTGAGACCTTTGACTTGGCTGAGTTGGGTCTGCTGGCTTCTGGTTGTGAGGTTGTTACTAATCTAGCAGGCTTCGGAGAGAACAGGCTTAGCAGGAAAGGAAAGCCAGGGCCTGGCCTTGTGAATCAACTTTGCAGAGGGAAGGTTGGGGTTATGTTTCATACAGGAGTTATTATTAAGGTCTGGGCAGTCAACAGATCAGGCGACAACAGGCACACCATGCTGTAGTGGTCAAATGGGGGAGCTCTGGGCCAGTCAGGAAGCCCAGGAGGAAGCTGGGAGACGGGGGAAGTATGGGTGAGAGCCTTGTAGTGGTTTTCACAGGAAGGAACAGGAGAGGCCGGGTGAGCAGGCTCAGGATTGCTGGCTTGAATAATTTCAGCTGCTCTGGGGCCAAGGGCCTTGCCTTGGTTGTCTGACATCTATCTGTTGCGGGGAGATGAGGGCAGGTGGCTAGTAGTTCAGAGTGTAAGAGCCCCACAGAGGAAATGGTGGTCTGAGATTAGGTTTCCTGGTGTCTCAGTTATTTCCCTCATCACCGGGACAATATACTGGACACCTGCAACTTAAGGAAAGGTTTATTTTGGCTCATGTTTCAGTTCATAGTCAGCTGGCTCTAAGGCAGGATGGCATGACACAGGGCACAGTGTCACTTCATGGCAACCAGGAAATAGAGAGTGGAAGGAGGGGCCAGGAAGGGAGCTAGGCCCTCCCAAGTCATGCCCCCAGTGAATTGCCTCTTCTGACCAGGCCCTACCTCCTAACAGAATATTTAGCTATGAACTCATTTATAAATGGATAAATATAGCACTGTCATGATCTAGTCACCTCCCAAAAGCACTATCTGTGGCTGATGAAGCTTTGGGGGACATCTAGACATAAACCATAGCCTTCCATCCCTGTCTTCCAAAGACTCATGTAGAAAATGCAAAATGCACTTAGTTTATCTCAGAGTTGTCAAACTGCCTTAGCATTGCTCAAAAGTCCAACTCTGTTGTGTCTTCTGAGATTGAAGGCAAACTTTTAGCTGTGAAACCCTGTAAAAATCAAAAAGAAAGTCAAATGCTGCCACTGTACAATGATACAAGATAAACATTTCCATCCCAAAAGAAAGAATCAGAGAGATAGTACCTATGAGACTATAGTACGACAGAGACCCAGAAGGGCAGACCTTAAACTCTGTAGCTCTATGTCCAGCATCCACAGCAAGTTGTGGTGAACCACAAACTTGAAACAGCATGGTCAGTCCTATCCCTATGGCATTGCTGGTGGTTGTAACCCTCATAGGCTGCCCTCTTGCGCTGGATCTGGCCACCGCCTTTGGTCTTTCAGCAGATACTGGTTTCTCCAACTTTTGGGAGTCTCCACTGCACTGTCAGCTTCACTCTCATAGCTGCATACACTGTCCTGTCAGTGCATTCAGTCTCCCGGGCCTTCTGAAACCTGGATAAAGTCTTTCTGACCCCACAACCCTTGCATTTTGCATGCATGTAAAAGCAGCACCATATGAATGTTGCCAAGGTCTATCAAGCAATAGTCAGGCCTCCTTGAATCATGGCTGCAGCTCTTCTTGTATGCTTGGCTGAGCACAGTGAATCAAATCCCTACACAGCAGAACAGCAGAGTACCCTAGTGCTCTCCTATCAAAGCAGTCTTTCACTTCTGGGACTTTGACCCTGCATACTGCAACAGTGGGTTTGCATTTGAAAAATATGACCAGAGGTGAGTTCTTAATAATCTCAAAGAGTTGGCTGACCTTGGGAGAGAAAGGCAGTCTCTGCAGGACTAACAAGGTTCAAATGTCACAGTATCTGAACGTAGACATCATATAATAATGCAGCTTGGCAGGAGTATGTGAAGAGTAAAGCTATTTATGTGGTGGCAGGAAGTGAAAGAGAGAAAGGAAAAGAGACTGTATCCCACGGTTCCCTTCCAAGGCATATCTCAGTGACCCAAAGACCTCCCACTAGGCTTCACCTTTAAGGCTCTACCACCTCTCAGGAGCACCAAACTGGGTCCAAGCCTTTAGTACATAGCCTATGGGGGTCACTCCAGAGCCAATCTGTATGAGGTAGAATGAAGGATACATATTTGAAGGTATGTACATGTACACATCAAGGCAGCAGATCTAAACTCTCCACCATGAAAAATTAGAAAAAGCTGGAAATAATGAAGGAAAGGTACCATGGAAGAATTAAGGATGTAATCCAGTACATTTATTAGTTATGAAGCTAATGACTAATAGGAAGCTCCCATCCCACAGGGCCTGTAGGGCACTGGGCCAGGTGGAGGAGAAGGAGGACTGGATCCATTTGCAGAAAGGAACTGCTCCTGGGAAGAGTCTCCCTCCTACCACAGACTCTATATTCTTCAAAAGGGTTTAATAAATTATAACCCAGGCTGAATTAGACTTAAAACATTTAGCACCTTTAATTTCTGTGCTTGATGCATTTGTGGGGTAAGGCATTGAGAGTACTGAGGACCAATGTTATTTCATGTGTCCTTTCAAGCCCATGCAGGCAGGGCCTGGGAGCAAAGTCTGTTTTACAAATAGAGGCACAAGGTGCTGAATGAAATGGCTAAAGTCAAGCTGTTCCAAACTGAGCTCCTCGCTTTCTCCCTGGTTCTCCTTCAGGCCCAAACATCCCAGAGCCATTCTGTTTGAATCAGTACAAACACCAGTGGCTTGGGGCAGTCCATTATGATACCTGGTATGGGAAGGACATGGCTCCACCTGAGCTCGCCATGCCTTGTGTTGTCCCCCATCCTGCAGCAGCTGGCACTGTGGGCACAGCTGGGGTGAGCAGGCAGCTCAGGAGTCATGTGTGGTCAATCTTGAAGGAAATCATACTCCAGGAGTTCATGAGCCTTTGCTGACCCATGTCCTTACTCCTAACAGTTTTTTATGTAGTCTTTAGGATTTTCTTTTCTTTTCTTTTTTCTAATTTCCATTTTTTTCCCATAATTTTATCGAGAGACAAATAGCAATGAGACAGTTTCAAATCAAATTGGTATGACAGTTTCAATAATTAACACATTGCATACTGTCTTCCTAGTGGTTATTTGCTGTACAAGATGTAGACATGATATCCTATTTACAAACACTATTACAACAAATCCCTCTATTCATTAAGAGAATGTAACTGTATATCTATCCTAACCATTTTGAATACACAGATACAAAATGAACATTCATCTGTATCCCCTTTTTCGTTTAGTTCCATCATTTGAATATTATAGGTGTAGTAAAATATTCTAAAAGAGTCCAGTAATCCATAATATTATTGGGTCTCCCTCTTGACTGGCAGTGTCAGAAATTGTTGACTTGAATCCCCTACAGCTCAACATAACACCATGGCTTTGCTTCTTATACTTCATTTTTATACTTTTCTGCTGGATGGTTAAAACCAAGATACAGCAAGACCTATGCAACAAGAGTTGTAGCTTTTGGATCTGATAAGGTCAGTGAAATCCCCTCAGGATTTATCCTGAGATCCTGTACCTCAGATTGTAGAACCTTTGTCAGTGCTGACACTGGATGAGTCATGGCCATTACTTGGCCAGTGTGCTCTCTGTGAAAGCCTGAGAGAATGTTTTCTCTCCATGTGACTCTCCTTAGGCAAACTCTACATCATCAATCACTTTCCTCTTTGGCCCCATAATCTCCTTGATCAGAAAATTTGGGACACTACTGAGTTACATGACGTTACAGTACAAGTTCTCATATGTCCTGAGTCTTAATTGACCTTAGAAAGCTAGGGCCAAATGTTGGCTTTCCCTGCGGCCCTCCTTTTTCTCTAATTTTGGTCTGCAAACTTAGGTTGTTAACTCTCCACAAGACAAGTTTATTGTTATTACCATACAACCTAGGCTGTTAAGCTTAACCTCACTATCTGTCTGGATATCAAACATCTTAGGTATAACAAGGAACAGGTATTTTTCATCAAGTATTGATATGTTGAACTTTAAGTCCCTACAGAATATGATGAAAAAACATTTAAGAAATTAGAATGTATTTTAAAAATAGGCATAAAGATTATATAATTCTTATGTTTACACATAAGTCCAGAAATCTAAACATATACAACCTTGTAGTAGGATAGTTCCACAACATTCCATTCCCTGTCTCCTGCTTTCATTCACCACCCCCTTCTTTTTGAACAATCATCTACCCAAGAAACAGCACGGCAGCAACTGGCATGTCATGACAAGTAGCCCATATTCAGAAGACCAGAATGACAGGCACTCCAAGCATGAACCTACTATTATAAGTTGTCATCTTCAGTGCAGTTGCTTAGTTCACAGGTGTCTGTATATATAGTTAGTCAGGGTGAGAATCATTCCAATTAACTGCAAGATTCAAAAATCTTCTGAAGATTCTCAGGATCATTGCCTTACCCATCTTCTACATATAACTGTATGGCTTGCCCCTGTCATGTTTCCTAGCTCTTCTCTTTGCTCTCTTTTCATTATATAGTCCTCAAGTTCTTGCTTTCCTTTTAGTTGTATTATACCTTTCTATTTGTATTAGTCTTTAGGATTTTCTACCTATAAGATTAGGTCCTCTGAG